GTAGTATTCCATTGTGTAGATGTACCACTGCTTTTTGTGTGTGTTTTTAAATATATTTTATTAAATTTTTACAGAGAGGAAAGGAGAGGGATAGAGAGTTAGAAATATCAATGAGAGAAACATCAATCAGCTGCCTCCTGCACACCCCCTACTGGGGATGTACCCACAACCAAGGTACATGCCCCTGACCGGAATCAAAATTAACCATATTGATGACATTCTGGGTAGCACATAAACTGTAGTACAGTATAATTCAAACCTGGGACCCTTTAGTCCGCAGGCTGACACTCTATCCACTGAGTCAAACCGGTTATGGCTGTACCACTGTTTTTTAATCCACTCATCTGCTGACAGGCACATAGGCTGTTTCCAAATCTTAACTATTGTAAACTGAGCTGCTATGAACATAGGGGTGCATATATCCTTTCTGATTGGTGTTTCTAGTTTCTTGGGATATATTCCTAGAAGTGGGATCACTGGGTCAAATGGGAGTTCCATTTTTAGTTTTTTATCCTCTCCAGCACTTGTCGTTTGTTGATTTGTTGATGACAGCCATTCTGACAAGAGTGAGATGGTATCTCATTGTTGTTTTGATTTGTATCTCTCAGATGATTAGTGACTTTGAGCATGTTTTCATATGTCTCTTCGCCTTCTGTATGTCCTCTTTTGAAAAGTGTCTACTTAGGTCCTTTGCCCATTTTTTTATTGGATTGTTTATCTTCCTTTTGTTATGACGTATAAGTTCTCTGTATATTTTGGAGATTAAACCCTTATCTGAAATAGCATTGGCAAATACGTTCTCCCATTAGTGGGCTTTCTTATTGTTTTCTTGATGGTTTCTTTTGCTCTGCAGAAGCTTTTTATTTTGATGTCGTCCCATTTGTTTATTTTCTCCCTAGTTTCCATTGCCCTAGGAGCTGTATCAGTAAAGATATTGCTATGACATATTTCTGATATTTTGCTGCCTATGGATTCTTCTAAGATTTTTATAGTTTCCTGTCTAATGTATAAGTCCTTTAGCCACTTTGAATTTGTTTTTGCGTATGGTGTAAGTTGGTAATCTAGTTCCATTTTTTGCATGTATCTAGTTCCAATTTTTGCAAATTTCCCAGCACCATTTATTGAAGAGACTGTCTTGACTCCATTGTATGCTCTTGCCTCTTTTGTCAAATATTAATTGAGCATAATGGCTTGGTTCGATTTCTGGGTTCTCTGTTCTGTTCCATTGGTCTATATGTCTGATCTTGTGCCAGTACCAGGCAGTTTTGAGAACAGTGGCTTTGTAATATAGCTTGCTAGCTGGTATTGTGATCCCTCCAACTTTGTTCTTCTTTCTCAGGATTGCTGTGGCTATTTGGGGTCATTTTTTATTCCATATGAATTTTTGGAGAGTTTGTTCTAGATCTTTGCAATATGCCATTGGTATTTTAATGGGGATTGCACTGAATCTATAGATTGCTTTGGGTAGTATGGACATTTTAATGATGTTGATTGTACCAATCCATGAACATGGTATGTTCTTCCATTTGTTTATGTCTTCCTCTATCTCTTTTTTCAACGTCCTGTAGTTTTCCAAGTACAGATGTTTTACCTCCTTAGTTAAGTTTATTCCTAGGTATCTTAATTTTTTTGATTCAATAGTAAATGGGATTATTTTTTAAATTTCTCTTTCTGTGAGTTTATTATCCTATATAATAAAAGGCTAATATGCAAATCAACTGAAAGGCAGAATGACTGGTTGCTATGATGTGCACTGACCACCAGGGGGCAGACGCTCAGTGCAGGAGCTGCCCCCCGGTGGTCAGTCCGCTCCCAGAGGGGAAGTGCCGCTCAGCCAGAAGCCGCTAAAGGAGCAGGCCTAAGTCATCAGTTGGACATCCTCCAAGGGCTTCCAGACTGCGAGAGGGCACAGGCTGAACTGAGGGACACTCCCCCTTCTCCCAAGTGCATGAATCTCATTCACTGGCCCTCTAGTCCTATATCCTATCTAATAATAGACAAACATGGTAATTGACCATACTTTGTTACGCCTCCCATTGGCTAATCAGCGAGATATGCAAATTAATCACCAACAAAGATGGTGGTTAATTTGCATATGTAGGCGTGAAGCGGCAGAGCGAAGACTGAAGGCAGCTCCAGCCAGAGCAGCGAAGGCTTGAAGGAGGCTCCAGCCAGAGCGAAGGCCTTGGTCCCTGGAGCTAGAGGACAACTGGTGCCGGCAGCCAGGGAAAGGGAAGGCCTATTGCACGAATCTTTTCATGCAACAGGCCTCTAGTACTAGCAATAAAAGGCTAATATGCAAATTGTCCACTGGACCAGGAGTTCAACTGGGAGATCAATCAGGAGTTTGACCAGAGGATAGGGCTGGCCAACCAACCGCCCATGACCCCACCCAGATCAGGGGTGGGGCCAGCCGGCCAACTGCACACAGTCCCTCCCCCCAGCTGGACCCTGATTCCCCCCCACCCCCCCCCCGCCCCCACCAGGGGCAGGGGCAGCCAGCCAACTGCCTGCGGCTCCTCCACCCAAATGGCCCAGCCCAATTGGCCCCAATTGGGGTGGGCCAGCCAGACCCCCCTTGTGAACAAATTTGTGCACCTGGCCGTTAGTTGGTGTATAAAAAGGCCGTAGATTTCTGGGTGTTAATTTTATATCCTGCTACATTGCCAAGTTCATTTATTAAGTCTAGTAGTTTTTTTGATGGAGTCTTTGGGGTTTCCTATGGACAGTATCATGTCATCTGCAAATAAGGACAGTTTTACTTCTTTTCCAATTTAGATGCCTTTTATTTCTTCTTGTCTGATTGCTATGGCTAGCACTTCCGGTACTATATCAAACAGGAGTGATGAAAGTGGGAATCCCTGTCTTGTTACTGTTCTTAGGAGAAATGGTTTTAGTTTTTGCCCATTGAGTATGATTTTGGCTTTAGGTTTGTCATATAAGGCTTTTATTATGTTGAGGTATGATCCCTCTATTCCCACTTTGCTGAGAATTTTTATCAGAAAAGGGTGTTGGATTTTGTCAAATGCATTTTCAGCATTGATAGATACAATTTTGTGATTTTTATCTCTCAATTTGTTTATGTGATGTATCATGTTTATTGATTTATTGATATTGTACCATCCTTGCATCCCTGGAGTAAATCCCACTTGGCCATGGTGTGTGATCTTTCTAATGTAATGCTGGATCCGATTTGCTAGAATTTTGCTGAGAATTTTGGCATCTATGTTCATGAGGGATAATGGCCCGTAATTCCCTATCTTTGTATTGTCTTTATCCGGTTTTGGGATTAGAATAATGCTGGCTTCATAGAAAGAGCTTAGAAGTGTTCGTTCCTCTTGAATTTCTTGGAATAGTCTGAGTAGGATAGGATTTAGTTCTTCTTTGAATGCTTGGTAGAACTCCCCTGTAAAGCCATCTGGACCAGGGCTTTTGTGTGCTGGAAGATTTTTTGATTACTGCTTTAATTTCTTCAGTAATTGTTGGCCTATTCAGGTTTTTTTTATTCTTCCTGATTGAGTATTGGGAGCTTGTATTTTTCTAAAAATATGTCCATCTCATCTAGGTTGTCCAGTTTGTTGGAATAGAGTTGTTCAAAGTATTTTTTCATAATCCTTTGTATATCTGTGGGATCAGTTGTTGTCACCTCTTTCATTTCTGATTTTATTTATTTGGGTCCTTTCTTTTTGCTTCTTGGTGAGCCTGGTTAGAGGTTCATCAATTTTGTTTATCCTTTCGAAGAACCAGCTCTTGGTTTCATTGATCTTTTGTATTTTTTTTGTCTCTGTTGTTTATTTCCTCTCTGATCTTTATTATTTCCTTCCTTCTGCTTACTCTGGGCTTTTCTTGTTGCTCTCTAATTCTTTGAGTTTGTAGGGTTAGATAATTTATTACCATTTTTTCTTGTTTTTGAGGTAGGCCTGTAGAGCTATGAACTTCCCTCTCAAGACTGATTTCACTGTGTCCCATAGATTTTGGATTGTTGTGTTTTCATTGTCTTTTGTTACCAGGATGCTTTTTATTTCTTCTTTGATCTCTTTGGTAACTGAATCATTGTTTAATAGCATGCTATTTAGCCTCCAAGTGTTTTTTTCCCCATTGTTTTCCTTGTAGTTGATTTCTAATTTTATGCCATTGTTATCTGAGAAGATGCTTGATATGATTTCTATCTTCTTGAATTTGAAGAGACTTGGCCTGTGTCCCAATTGTTCCATTTTTTGTTTTTTTTTGTTTTTTCAAAAAATAAAAGAAAAC